GATTAAGAGGGCCTGGAAGAGACAGGGAGGCAGGTGTTGGTCTCTGTGACAGGTTGATCTCTGTTGATACAGAAAGAGCTGCCACCAGCAATATATATACAAACAGGTCACTGTGCCCTGAAATTTTTTTTTTGTCAATACAGGAACTCGTTAACATTTTCATGCAACAAAAAGCACTAGTTTTTATTTTATTTTTTCAGTCATTCACAAATACAAAAATATGCATTATAAACATATATTTTGGAAGGTGGGGAACACAGGGTCTTGCTGTATTGCCCTGACAGGCTCCATATACCTACTCATGACCTTATGAAATAGTTGGGACTGCTGGTATGCATCTCTGAGCCCATAAACACGTATTTCAAAAGCTGAATTCTAAAGCACGAAGTTGGTATAGCAGATAGTTGTGCCGCTTGCATCACTAGGCTGTGGCTGATGAGAGGCCACTGTGCCCACAGTCTTTCTATGCCAGTTCAGATCGAATTGCCCATTCCCCTGCTTAGACTCTTCAGTAGTTTCTCATTCACAATGCCCAGTCACCATAAGCCTGTCATATTTACCTCCCGACTTATTCCCACCTACTTTGGAGACTCACTGTTCACATCCACCCCTATGCTATGACCCCGGCTCACACTACCCAAACCCAACTTGAGGCTCTTGCTTGAACACACCCTACACTTGCTCCCCTACACTGACCCAGGGCTACCCTGGCATGACACAGGAGGCCTCTGCCGTGAAATTCCTCTATGAGTTGCCCCATTAAAGTCCCCTTCATTCCTTAGTGCTCGGTTGAGGCACCAACCACCTCCTTTGCATAAAGACTTTCTTCTTTTTTTTTTTTAAAGATTTATTTATTTTATTATGTATACAACATTCTGCCTCGATGTATGCCCGCACACCAGAGGAGGGCGCCAGATCTCAGTACAGATGGTTGTGAGCCACCATGTGGATGCTGGGAATTGAACTCAGGACCTCTGGAAGAGCAATCAGTGCTCTTAACCTCTGAGCCATCTCTCCAGCCCAAGACTTTCTTCTTTTACATGGCTGAAATAATACCACAGTTTATGATTTACATCTTGACACATAAATAACCACCTGATAGGACTCCCTAGGATTATATAAGACAGTGAGACAATGTTAATAAAGACTACCGTGATACTTGAAATTGACTTACCCCTAAACTGTAAAGCAGCTAAAGCCATGTGAAATTTACTTACACAAAACTTACAGTGACCTGCATGTATGCTATGCGCTTAGTAAATATTTATTAAATATAAGAAGAATATTAATTAAGTACTATGTCCTTTTTGTGAAGCACAATCAATGGCTTTTATCCTAAAGCTAAGTGTGATAAGGGCTAAAATGCAAGATTTCTTTGATTTTTCTACTTGAGTTGGCTGTATGGTACAAAATAAAAATTCACGGACCATGGTGGCTTACACACCTAGGACCAGGAGTCAGTCTGATTACTGTCTTTCTTGTGTAGCTGTGGAAGCTGCCTAAATTTTCTTACATTCTGTTTATTCTTTGATAAAACTGTCAATAAAATGTCTTGAAGGAACATTTTAGACTACTCTAGTACTGCTTTCTATTTGGTAGGCTTTCAGTACATGTGAATTGAGAATATTAAATAGGACCCATATACATGGCCAACACGGTGAAATGATGCTCAAAATAGTACACTCCTGAATGAAATGAAAGCTGTCTCCCAACCATTGTTTTATAAATGTAGAAAGAGAGCAACAATCTCTTTGTCTTTCTTGGGGGAGAATCCTGGAAATTGAAGATGCTCTACAGTGTCTGAGGGTTGATCCAATGGAGAACACTCTCTGCGGCATTTAGCCTTAGCAAACAGTAAGAGTGAACATGAGCTATGATGTGAGGTCAGGCTGAGAACCCATCCAGCGAGCATGTGGGGTGCTACATACAACCATAAGGGTTCTTCCATGAGTTCATGGATGAGCTGCCATCTTCCCTTTCCACTTTCATCCAGACTTGGAAAGGTACGAGGTGATGGAGAGGGTATGGGTCTCTGAATAATGTACATCCGAACTAGTGTGGCACAGGTTGTCTTCCACAAAACCCAACCATGGCCTACTTGGTATTGAGTTGAATCCTTAGAAAACTGCTTGTAGCTACAATCTCACTAAGCTGATTATTTAATAAAGATTTTTTTGCCTCAGTGATCAAGTAGCAGGTTAGGAATGCCAATCTCTTACAGTACATATAGTACAAAAAATATTGGAACCCCATTAGCCTCACTTGAATGTTGTGTGCTGGCAACTTAAAGTGCCACGGCATTCATGACAATGTCTGTATTTTGTCACAATTCTTAATTTAGTTTCCATCTCAGGATGCCATGGTCCTATTATTCTACCAAGAACTGGTTTGTCAGTATCACGAGGATGGGATTTCCGTGTTCTTGGTCCTTCGTGTCTTTGTACAGTCATTACTTCTGTAGCTCGAACACTATAAACACTTGCGAAGGGAAGTCTTGTTGGCCAATTCTGACAACCCCTGGCTCAGATGCCCTCCGAGCATGCTAGCTCCTGACTCTCTCTCTTGCAAATTGAAGTTCCCCTTCCCGACAAGACATACGGATTTCATGCTGCCCCTGTCTATCCAAAAGTTGAGTTCAACTGAGCCAACTGTGAGAAAATAACTCACCACCACAGTAGATTTAACTTCTGTTCACCGGAGAAACAGGTCAGGTCCACATCATTGTCTCATTCATAAATATCAATGATCAAGAAGGGCAGGCCCTGAGCCCGTAGCAGTAGCGTACACCATCATTGCATGGGTTAACCCAGCTAAGGAGTGCTGGGTTCTCTTTGTGCTTCCCCCCTCTCCATGCAAACTATTCTATGTTCTGCAGCACTCAGAATCCAGAGACCCAACTGGAACTCATTCTCCCATTTTCTTGCTCACCTTTCCAGCTCTCCCCACAAACAATTTGTGTCCAGTTGAATGAGAACACACAATGCCAACTAGCACTGAAACGCGCTGGCTGCATCTCAGCTCAGTGCGAGCGCTTGTTCCCAAGTTATCTCTACTAGAAAGAAGCATGGCTGGTTGCCTTTTGAGGACTTTGAAATCTGTCTCACATTTGTGATGAGTATTAGGTGGAAGAAGTAGGGAAAGATTACAATTACTTCATTCTTAAATTTCAAATAGCTACACAAATGTCCCAGAAAGAACGGATATAATGGACCAGATCTCTTTTTCTTCCAACTCTGACAATCCCCACACCATATCCTCAGGTGATTTTAGTGTATATATGCTTAACTCTTAGAGTACTTTATGTAGAGTGTAAAAAGTTCATTCTCATATTATCAAAAATATGTTAAGGTGCAAATGAGCCAATCTGAATAAAATGTGTCAAGGTCTTTCTAGTCACGAGTAGATAAGATTGAGGGATGCAGATGACCGGCTCTCCTGCTGCAATTGATCATGACTGCAATGGAAGCCAAGCGCAAGCCTCACACAAATGCTAAACGAAGGCACTAACGTCATCTGCAGCACTTCTGCAGTTCTTGGAGAAGGCGGATTACCGTCATGCTGCACTGTTGGTGCTCGTCGGGAACTCACGCCATTCTCCTACCATGTCAAATGTTTCCCCGTGTTAAGAAAAAGCAAGATGCTAGGCAGTGGTGGTGCACGCTTTTAATCCCAGCAGTCGGGAATCAGAGGCAGGAGGATCTCTGTGTGTTCGAGGTCAGCCTGGTATACATTGTGAGATCTAAGGCCAGCTAGGTCTGTTATGCAGAAAAACCCTGTCTCTAAAAAACAAAACAAAACAAAACAAGACAGACGGAAAAAGCAAGAACCTGAGTAGCAAAGCTGGCATTGCCTGCCAAAGGCAAACAGTGAATGTGCACTAGTTTATAAAAGAGCAAACAACGGTGTCAATAATAGACTATCTCAAAGAGGCACCAAAGGCAAACAAACAAAAAGCCCACTATTACTTTCTTATTAATTGTAATTCTGTTTCTTGCTATGTGATTTTTGTCTGTATAACACTGCTCAATTAAATTGACAGTTGTATCAAAAATTACTGTCTTGGCTGCTATGTGGCGTTCCGCAAATCTCTTAAAACCCCGTATTTAAGTCTGCTTTTTTTGAAAGGCACTTACCTACCCTCTGGGGTGTTATATGAATTAGGAGTGCTGGCGCCCACAGCGCCTAAGCCTGGTTAGCAGGTTGGAAGCTAATAAGTACAATGGAAATAGGCCCTACTTAGTTACTATGGATACCTCAGACATAAAGGATTCCTGTTTGGGGTACTCATCAACCAGAGCCAGCACAAAATCCCTCATGCTGCTCGGACCTAAATACGGCCATAAAGTTTACTGCACATGTATAGTGTGCTAGAAGTGCTCTGAAATGGCAGGGCCGTGCTGTGGAAAACTATTCCTGACTTTTGGTGTCTTATGCATTGCCTGTTTCCCATGCAGAGAACTAAAGGTTTTCTTTCTGCAATTCACTTTGCAGAATCGAGCATTTCTGCTAGATTGCTAAAACTGCTTAGGTAAAATTAGGCACAAGTGCAATGCCCGCAGCAAACCAACTCAGCTAGAAATGCTACAGTTTGGGTTGGAGATGGCTCAGTGGCTAAGGGCATTCATTCATTGGCTGTTCTTCCAGAGGTTCTGAGTTCAAGTCCCAGCACCCACATGGTGGCTCACAAGTGTTTATACGTGCATAGCTGTAGTTTCATGAATCCCAATGCTCCCTCCTGGTGTGCAGATATACATGCAGACGAAAGCATCCATATACATATATATGTGTGTGTGTATGTGTATATATACGTACACACACACACATATGACATTGGGCACTTTACTCCTCTTCACAGATACACACTTCATAGCGTGAGGTGCAGGCGACTTGGGAAACCCGGCTTGCCCTTGTGCCCTGTTTTGGCTTAATGACTTTAGTAAGCCAACAGAAACACGCCGTCCCATAAAGATAATTGCACAACAAAACTTTATCTTTTCCAGATGGCAAATGGGATGTCACTAAGTGTGACTTAATGGTCTGGCTCCCACAGGACTCTCTCCAGCTTCATTTGCCTGCTCCACAGGGATGCTGATGGGATGTACCGCAATAGGGAGCCTGGTCTCCAGAGCTAAGGAAAGTACGACCTAAGCCAACCGTGAGCTGGGCAAGGGTGGAGAGAGGGTAGACAGTAAGGTGGCTTGAAAAGATGATGGTCTTCCGTAGCAGCTGGCAGGCTTTGCCATCTCTGCACACAGAGGTTCACAGTCCCTTTCCCCCTCATTGTCTACACTCCCTTCTGTCTTTGCCCCTCTCTTGTGAGATATCTCTACCCACATAGAAAGCTCTGGCTCTTCCTTCGGTGGCTCCCAGTCTTCAGCTCTTCAGCTCAGCTTCCTCCCCCAAACTCTATGCATATGTAGCTGGGTGTGCAAGTGTTGCCTCTCTACCCAACACTCTACTTCCATTCTTTTCCTATAGAATTTTTTCCTCTTAGTTGAGGGCATGGGCACTTACTAGGTGTTAATATCCGCACTGTATTTTTAGTACAGATGCTTTCCTTAATTTTTTAACCTTCTCAGATAGAAGTGATTTCTAACAGCTAGCTTCCTTTGTATACACGCCATGCCAATTTATGCCATACACATTTTAAAATAGTATTTTAATGCAATTTCATAAATGTTTCCTTTTTCCTTTTACAACATAGTTTGCAAGCAGAAAGACTCAAAGAACAGATTAATACACCCAATGTGTTTTTGTTAATATCCTTTCAATTTAGAAGTCAAGTTATGGAATTAGGAAAATGTCTGTGAATAAACTGATACATATATATATGTTGGCATGCTAGTTTTAAAAGCATAGTGCATTCATAAAAAGTCACATATTTCTTTACTGAATTTATTCTTTAAGATTTTGTCTATCAGTCTAAGGTTAAGAGCACTTGCTGTTCTTTCTGAGGACCCAGGTCAATTCCCAGCACCTACAGTCTGGCTCACAGCCACATGTAACTCCAGTTCTGGGGCATCTACTGCTTCCTGTTTTGAAATCTCACTGAAGACATGGGTGGCACTAATGTCACTTATCTTTATGTCCCTAAGTGTCACAGCCAAGAGATCAGCAAGAGCAGTTGGTCCTCTGGGCACAGCATTTAATGACATTAACGCTGTGGAAATGTTTTTGAACCTCTGAGTAAGAAGTCATTTTGTGAGCTCCGAGGAACCCAGCACACACGTTTTTCCTCTCTGTTCATGTGTATGAAGGAACCACCATTTACCACTTTTGATATTACACACACACACACACACACACACACCATAACAAAGGCAAAAACAGCCACTTTCCAGGGAGTTTATGGTAAAAAGCATCAAATAACAAACCTGTCGCAAAAGTATCATTACAGGAGAAAACGGTGCAAGGCACTCCCGTGCATCCATGGTTCTCCTGAGGGACTGCCCGCCTCACACTAGGGAAATCAGAACCGCGTGTGTGTAGACACGCCGAGCACACCACTTACCCACTCACACTGGAAGAAGTTTTTTTTTTTTTTTTTTTGGTTTTTCGAGACAGGGTTTCTCTGTGGTTTTGGAGCCTGTCCTGGAACTAGCACTTGTAGACCAGGCTGGTCTCGAACTCACAGAGATCTGCCTGCCTCTTGGAAGAAGTTTTACAGTGAACTGGGGCTATTGACAGGTGCTTGGAGGAGGAGAGGAGGCTGATGGGGGAGGAGAGGAGGGGGAGGAGCTTCACGGCTGGGCAGGACAAAGTCTTCACTCCCTTGGATTTCTCTTAGTGCAACCTGTGTCCTGTCATTTTTTTAAAAAGTGCTCCAAGAAGTCTGGCCTGTAGCCGCTGCTTGATAACGGTGGAGCCGCTGAATGATGAGCGGTTTAAAATGTCCTCGGCATCACACCTACATAACGCCATTAGCATCTCTTCCTAAGATCAGAGGTGCCATCATTCTGGGATTGTCAAGACTTTCCGTCTCAGGAACTCAGTGAAATATTTCTAGAGAGGCTTTTAATAATCTAGATTAAACAGGGCAAGCTTCAGAGAAGAATCGTGGAGGAACACAGGGGAACGACACTCCGACTCTGGTCTGGAGTTCAGGCGGCTTGGCATTAGAAGCTTCCTCTAACTGCACCACTTCATATACTTTATAGAGCTCTGAAGTGTTGACTTAGGGGGCTATGTACCCCTCTCTCATATATTCGATATCTCAAGACCTAAGTGTAACGCTGCTTGTTAAATAGCAGAGAAAGACTGAAGAGGCCCAGCAAGATGATTATAGGGCCGAGTGTTGTGTTTCCCTTTGCAGTCTTGAAAAATAATTGCCACAAAAAACTAAAACAAACCAAAGAAAATAATGCCTCAGTCCCCTCAGATGATCCATGAAGCCTGAACATAAACATCTCACTGAGTGTGATACTTGGAAAACTCAGACCAAGGTAGGAATTCCCAAACTAAATTATTTGCTTGCTTTCTTCTTCTCTCCCTCCCTCTCTCCCTCTGTCTCTCTCTTTCTCGCTCGCTCTCCCCTTTCCCACCCTCTCTTTCTTTCTCTGTGGGAAAGAATGGCCGAGAACCATGAAATCATTCATAAAACATAGATTACTGGGGGATGAGTCAAATGACCTGACCTGCACTTGTGCGTGTACACATTCAGCTTCTTGAATTGGTACATACTATTGGAAAAGGCATCGAACCATAAAAATAACTCACATGTCTGTTATGTTTTTCCATTTTAAGCTTATAATAGCAATAACAACCTCGGCAAAAGACATTTTCTTGGAATTAATGGCTGGCTGGGAGGCAGAGCCCAGGACCACTGGCTCTTCCCAGCTGGTCATTAATCCCCAGGAAACGCCTGCACCGCCATCATTATTGCTAAAGCACCATTACAGAAAATTCTCACAGTTCCAGTATATGGAAATCTGAGGCCGTTTTGCAAGCCCACGGTACTCATGTGAGTTAATAGGGCCACCACTGAGCACAACACACGTAATTATCCAAACGACAGAGGGGAGCGAGTGTTCTCCTAGGCCTGTAAGATTATAGGAAGTGGGGAATGGCCTTACCGGAAGGCTATGGTGGAAGCTCAACCACATTAATTTAAAGGGGGATTGGAAACTCATATATGAAAGTTAGTGGGAGAAAAGACAAGGCAGTTTACTCCTATTACATAGTTTTAGGATATTTTTCTATTATTTTTATTTTTAATTTATTTTTAAAACAATCTTTTCTCAGTTTACATACCTAGCCCGGTTCCCACTCCATCCCCTCCTCCTGCTCCCCCCACTTTCTCCACAAGTTTTAGAATATTTTTAAAAGATAACAGACTAAGGTTATATATACATTTCTTCCTAAATTGACTAAATACTACTAAAGAGTTCGAGTACAAAGAATTGTATGAACCTATGCCATCCGAGGGGATAAACAGAGTGGGTAAGTAGGGGTTCCTTACTTTCAATGTTTATTAAAATTTGTAGGCATTCACCCATTAAATATTTCATGCGAACATTTTGTTCTAGACTTTCTGGCTACAGAAGCAAGCAAACCAAAAGCCCCACAACAAGGACAACCTGAAGCTGTCTAACTAGAGGCTTAGCATGTGCAAACAGGTGAGGAAGAAAGCTGAAAATCAGTGAATACTTACACTCCTGGTGTCCCACACTATCCTATTTAAATATCCTCTTAAAAACGCACAGGCTTACAAGCTACACCGAACGTGAATATGAGATGCTTTCGAATCTAGTCATTCCCTACTTTTAAAACACTATGCCCAACAAGTGGTTTAAGGAAGGAATTAATCCAAAAATCACATCCCAAATAGCCTACAAATCTTTCCAATGTGTTCTTATAATAAACTACAAATGTTGGCTATGATGCTTCAGGTTTAATGAAACCCCATTTATGTTCTCCTCGCGAGTTAGAAATACCTGCCTTGTTCTAAAACAAGGTTGATGTTAAGGAGGCTTGTTATGGGTTAAACTGCACCCCTAAAAAGATGGATGAAGTTCTAACCCACCTTGCATCTACAGGAGTGGAGTATTATTGGAAGTAGGGTTTTTACATACATAATCAAACTAAAATGGTGGTTACTTGGGGGGGGGGGGGGGAGCTACTCAAATACAGCCTGATGTCCTCAAAAGAGAAGAGACCACCAGACACATGCCTGAAGGAGATCACATGATCTCAGAGGGGTGTGTCTAGAAGCCAAGAAACATCAATGATTATGAATGACACCGAAAGCTAGGGAAAAGGCATTGAATGATTCTCAAAGTGTGCTGGCTCACATCTGGAATCCCAGCACTGGGGGGGCGGGGGGGACCATTGCCAACTCAAGGCCAGCTTGAGTAACCAGGTGAGATCCTGTCCTGAAAAGGAGAGACAGACAGAGAGAAAAAAGACAGATTGTGCCAGCCTGGCTTCTGGGAAAGCGGCACAGCCCCGCAGACACCCAGATGTACAATTTCCCACTTCCCAGAAACGTGAGAGTAGTTTCTATTGTGCGAGGGCACCCAGGCATGTGATACTTTGTTACATCAACCCTCAGAAAACCTAACCCTAACGCAGGACCCAAGGGAAGGAAGAGCCAGGGCCAACATTACAAATGGAAAACAGGGAAAGTCAAGCCAGCAAGATGAAGCCATTCCTTTAAGGGGAAAGCAAGGAGTTGGAAGTCAGGAAACCTGGTTCCTGTCAGGATAATGAGGCTCATGACCTGGAGCCGGACACTTAATTGCTCTCCGCTTTGACATTGTCACCTGTGGAACATGAAAGCCTGGGACTCTAAGCCGCAGAGCAAAGCCAGACTCCTATCTGGGGAGGCTGAACTCCGATCGGAACAGCACTTAATGCAGCCGCAGTTCAAGTCTCCGCACCCTGTGGGCCTTGGTGACAGGCAGCCAGGCAGCGGGACGCAGGGATGCAGCTGCATCTTCATCGGCCGCTTGCCATGCCCATAGCAGCAGCCTGCACACATGGATGTGGGTTAGGTAAGGACAGAAAAGCCCGCCCCGGAATTAACAGCGTTCTGTTCTGGAACTCTCGAAAGTTTTGTTCTTTAAAATGCTCCCCCCGCCAACACTTCCAAGATTCTCTGAAAATGTCTCTGGTTAATTTAAAAGCAATCTTTTATTTAAGTAAGATGAAAACCACACTCAAAAAAAAATAGAGTATCACTTGTAAATAAGAAATTAAGAAATACGTTCTTTTAAAGTGCCACTATGGAAAAGCATTAGCTAAAAGAGAGGAAATCACTCTTGTAGGGCGCCATAGAGTGGGGATCGTGCTCCAGTAGAGCACTGGATACAAACACAATATATTCTCTAAAAGGCCCCCATGGTAACCGCATTTGGAGTTGGACCACTGGTCATTATGTTCATCTAGCTGCCTAACTGCTCAGATCCCACGCGTGACCAGTACAATGCAGCAGGCCTTTGCCATTCTAAAATGATTATGTGAGGACCTTGAGCTGTTTGCTAATCTTCTCAGAGGGGAGATACTTAGCCAAACACAGATTTTTTTTTACTAGGTGTGGTTATGGCTTTGCTCTGTGTGTGTGTGTGTGTGTATGTGTGTGCATGTGCACAAAGAAAGATGCAAGCATACATGTGTTTATGTTTTAAAAAGATGTCTGCCATTTTTCTTTCTTCACTATTTCCATATTATTTTAGCGGAAGGACGTACCGCTCTGGCAGCATTCTCTAGGGTGGGTATCCGTGATGGTGTCAAAGTGACAAAGTTTGACTGCAGTCCGTGCTAGAGCCTGAGATAAATGACCAAAGTACAATTAACAGGACTGTTTGCCCAGTGAAATCTGCTTTTGTGGACATATAAAATTTATGTGAAAAAAAATAACTTCTGGCTCAATTTTTGCTTATCTATGTGTATCATAGTTTATTTATTTGCTTGGTTTTTAGTGTTGGCAATCAAACCCAAGGCTTTGTGCCCGCTCTATACATGCTTACCCACAGAGCTATCCCACAGTCTGCATTTCTCAATTTATCCACAATCTCGGAACTCTGGAGACCTATTTGGGCATATCCCAAAAGACAGACTAGGCATGGTGTGTGTGGCCTCAGGAAAAGCAGGCGTGGTGCACTCTTAGACCAGCTCCCCTTCTTGGCCTCTCCAATTGGCAGAACTCAAGGCAGTAAAGTACAGGTTACTCCAGGTAAGTCAGGAGCTGGATGCCAAGCCCGCCTATGCTCTGCTTGGGCTAGCCAGCCATCCATAACAAGGGAATCTGAAGGAGCACCCAGACAGCCACAGGTAGGAAACATGGGCCAGAATCTGTCCACGCTTCCACACCAGGCAGCGTTCTAGAATGTGTAGAAGACATGATGTATCTCCCCATATCATCATGGGATAAGCTGAAATTCTCAAGCAACTATCTTAAAAGACAATACATCCGATGGCAGATTTCTGAACCTATACACGCGACGAAATTGGTTATGACATGATCTACACACACACATAATATACACACATAATTACACCAAAAACAGGGAACCCAGAAAATGATTGTGAGGTTGGTTAACAACAACATCCTAGTCAAGATAGTTTAACGACAGTTTATACGGGCCAGAACATGCTCAGTAGTTGAGCCTTTGGGCTGATCCCCAGAGATTCAGAGAAACATAGGCGAGAAAAAAAAAGCCACCACTGTTGGGGAAACTGGGCAAAGTTTACAAGACATTTCTTACAGCTGCATGGGAGCCCCCCAGTAGCTCAGGAAGATGGATAACCCAGCTGGATTGGGAGTAAAGGGAAAAGGAAGAAGGAGGGGCAAGAAGGCCATTTTATTTTTAACAAATATGAACTGGTAAGGCTGTCAAAAGTTTCTCTCCTAACTCAATGTTTTCCTCATCTAGGAACCTGGAGAAATACTCCTTTCGGGGGTAGAGATGGGTAAAACACAAACAACACAGGCAAAACACAGGATGTCTCAGAAGTGATATCTATCGGCTATTTTTCATAAGCGTCTCCAACTGTCATGACATTACACACAGTTTAAAAAATGCGGCATTAAGTTAAAACTCGTTCATCTTGACAAAAATCTTATTAGGATCCACAAGCCCAGGAAGCTCGGCTAGACCTGCTATGAAGTCAGAACAATGACCTCTCCCAGGCTGACTGGCTGAAGCTGCATCCACACATCTGCCCAGGTCTCTCCATGAACTTCAGTTGGGGAACCTACGGTTCTGGGGGCATTCTCAGGTTTGAATGTCTCTACTTGAGATCCTCAAAGAGACAGAAAAACAACTCAATTTATTGAGTGTTCACTACGTGCCAAGCACTGTGCATTGAGCCTCTCAGACCAGGAAGGGTGGGCCTCATGTGTGGTGAGGATACAGGCTCGAGCCCCAGACATAACATCACCCTACCACCCTGCCTGCTCCGAATCACTGGCTTGGGAGGCCAGAAACAATTAAATGATTCAATGGCTAAGGTCATGGGCAACCTTGGAGGAAAAGGCCTTGGGAAAGCACCCTCTGTGATTCTCTTAAGGACAGCTTGGCCCACAATAGCTGGTTCTGCTAGAATCCTGGAGCTGGGAAGGAGTTTGCAGGGACCAGGAAGCAAATTCTATGTAGAAACCACACAAATGTCTATATGCTTAGGTTCATAGTAAATGTGAAACAAAACTGAGTTGAACAAAACCAATATGTATGTATGTTTATTTTAATAGATTTAACATATGAAAGCAACAGCACATATAAATTTTCCTTCGGCATTAGAGTATTTACTCAAATGTCTTTTCTCCCCAATTTTAATCCCTATGGTTCAATTGAAGGATTCATCTTTATCACTGATCCGCCTTCCATCCCACCCTTCCCACTTAAAGTCTCTCTCTGTAGATGTGGCCATACCTTCTCCTGTCTGGGGTCCCTACAATTTTTACCCTAAAACTTCTTTAGTGGACCAAGCAAAGTTCCTCTTCCTTTGGCTATGCTTTGACCACACATTCCATTGACTTGACAGTTACTGTCTTAGGAGGTAAAGTTCTACATCTTCCTTTGCATGCCCGCCACACATCTCCGTGCCTTACATCACTGGTTCTTTCTAAACATTACCCAGCCCCGCAGATAACACCTTCAGTGTTGGAACTTTAATCTTGCAACAACAAAAGAAGATTGGAATGGAAAGATGTCTCATAGCTTCAGTGGAAGGGGCTGGAGAGATGGCTCAGCAGAGCAGAGCAGAGCACTGGTTGCTCTTGTAGAGGACCCGGGTTTGAGCCCTAGCACCCACATAGTGGCTCACAATTTCGGTTCCAGGAAATCTCCTTTTCTGGCCTCAGTGGGTACCAGGCTCACAAATGCTGCACAAACACAGAGGAAACAAACCTATATACATAAGACAGATAATTTCTGTGGAAGACAAAGGTGAGGCTGAAAATGCTAAGCAAAATTTTACAACTTCTATGTGTTGTGACAAGACTAAGTTCACGCTCGTGTGAAATATTGCTTTCATTGTTGAGATTTACTGCCATTTCTTTATGATAATATGCACTCTATGAATTATGAATCTTTTTTACCTTTTCTCGTTTACAGCCCACACAGAACGGCACAGAAGGAACACTTGGTGTCCCATGGAAGATGTGAACAGGTAATGTTAAGCAACCTATCCAAATCATAAAGCTAGAAAGTCATTAAGTCAAAAGCCAGATGGATAACATTTTCATCTCAAATAGTGTTCCATCTAGCTTACTTGAGGGCTGTATCAGTAAATTAGAAAAACAAGACATAGAAATGTCTGGAATGTTATGGAAAAGGGGAAACTGACTTGATGCATATCCACAGCTTTTAATAATAATGGCACTTGCAGAACCGTCTGGAACATCCCTTAGGGAGTAGGCAGGTTAGCAAAAATTACAAAAATATCAACAATTTTATGTCCCAAAAGGAACTTAGGTTCGGAAATGTGACAGTAGCCCGAGGTTAGCAAATGAAAGGGCCCAGACTCCACTGCAGATTGGTTAAGATTTACAAAAGGAATGTCCACTGTGTTGGGGGTCAGCAATATGACTCAATGGAAGGTGATGCTTGACGCGCATGCCTGGTAACCTGAGTGTGATCCCTGGAACCTACATAATGATGTGACGGACTCCACAAAGTTATCTGCCGATCACATGTGCCATGGCACGCATGCTTGCACTCAAACGCATACACACACATGTACACACACACACACACACCAAGTATATACACTTTGCCCTACTCTCAACAGAATGATTGAAAAAAGAACATTACAAATGAAACTGACAGAGATGGACTAAAACCCACATAAGGAGAACCTAGATTAGCTGGATGGAAAGATAGACCTGAACACCTTGTGTCGGGATGCTCATGAAATCTTATGTCTTATGAATTCTTCAGGCATAGATGGCTATCTCCTCAGAAAGATAATTTTGCAGCTAAAAGGAATATAAACATTTTCTTAAGCTTGAAGATGGCTGATTCGATTATTATTTTAAAGCCACAAAACTTCTAAACTTTCCTAAATGTTGAAAATTGGTTTTTGCTTCACGGATATTTATTAGCTTCTCAAAAGAGGGTCTCAATGTTTACTATAATATATTTACTTGCTGGGATAGTGAGTTATCGTTCTGAACATATGACATAATCATTCCTGGTTTAAAAGTCAATTTTAGCCGCTGTCCTGATCTAGCTATCTTCTTTCTTTCTTCCTTTCTTTCTTTCTTCCTCTTTCTTTCCATCCATCCATCCATCCATCCATCTATCCATCCATCCATCTATTGTCAACTTGACAGAAGCTAGGGTTATCTCAGAAGACGGAACTTCTACCAAGAAAATACTCCTACTAGATTGGCCCGTGTCCAAGTCTGTGTGGTGTCTTTTTAGGGACTGATGCGGGAGAGCCTTAGCCACCGTGAATGGTGCCACCTGGGCAGGTGGTCCTGGATGGTATAAGAGAACAGGCTGAGCAAGTCAGGAGGAGCAAGCCAGTTACAAGCCATTACTCTCAAAGGTCTCTGCCTCCAGTCCCTGCCCTGACTTCTCTGGGAGACAGATGCCATCTGTATGATGAAAGAAAACCCACTCCTTCCCAAGTTGATTTTGGTCATGATGTTTTTATCACAGCAATAGAAACCATAACTAAGGTGGTCACAAAAGAATTCTTCACACTGTGACTATGGATGCATGGCCCTTCAGCCTGTACAACCTGTGAGCCTTGAGCCTACTATTACCCAACAACGCACAAATGGGCTTTGTTATTGGTACCAGAAGATGGTGTGAGACAAATGAGCATAGCATGAATTAATTCTCTAAACACCAAAGACCCCTAAGGACTTTCTACAGTGCAAAAGAATACTAGCCATGATTGCTAACTATTCCCGGATGTGTTAGCTTTTAAGAACGGTCCCAGCTGATCTCTATCCAATTAACCTTTCAATAATGAAGCACTTTAGTAGACAAAGTTACCGTTGTTATTTATGAAACTTGGAATTTTAAATGATTTTGTGCAGTTCACCTATTATCTACACAGAATGCAACGTATAACCCCTATCATGTTTTCAAGTATACACACACACACACACACACACACACACACACACACACACAGAGAGAGAGAGAGAGAGAGAGAGAGAGAGAGAGAGAGAGAGAGAGAGAGAGNACACACACACACACACACACACACACACACACACACACACACAGAGAGAGAGAGAGAGAGAGAGAGAGAGAGAGAGAGAGAGAGAGAGAGAGAGGGAGGCAGGCTAGCGCTGGAAGGGTGTTAGGAAGTAAATATGCTCTCTAGATTTGACTGCCTGCCCACTAGTAGTACGCCCACTGTCTCCCTATGTCATTGTAAATACTGCAAGACACTCATGAAAGACGAGCAAAAGGGCAGTATTAACTGATTTCCCCCTTTACTCTCATGCTGGCTGTAAACTGTAAGGGCAAGGGAATGGAACCCCAACAGGGCACTCGATCAGTTCCTGCCAACAACACAAGGAACTACCATAGAAACCTTTCTGTGAGGTTTAACCAACACGGAGCTTTTCTATTTGGGGGTGACCCAAAATTGGGTCAAAACATCCTTTCAAGGGACTGTGCTAAAATCTATTTCAGAAGTCAGAGCACCATTCTCAGAACTGAAGAGATGGAGGCAGTAAGAGGAGACAAAGCGGTCAAAATCCAGCAGAGGCCTGAGAAAGAGAGGTACTACTGATCTGTTAAGTGGCAAGGCATGAACGACCATTTGAAACTATTTGGAGGCCATGTTTTAATGATTACAGGTTATGTGCTTAAACCTAGTCTAATTTCTTTAAAAGCACAAGGTATCGATTTGAAAAGAAAATGAAAAGTCAAAGAGTGAAATTTCAATCTACATTCACAACTGGGAAACAATTATTCAAAGAGCTTGCTTTATAACATAAAGTTTATATACACTAAAGGAAAACTTTCCCTTCGCCAAGTTAGGGTTTGGTCAGTTCTCCAACTTTATCAGAAAACATAACAAAGAGGTCTTTTTCTAAAGTCAATACTGCATATTGATTTTTAATGCACTATATGCATCAGGAAATTGGCATTTTAATTACTAAGTATAAAGAGAAAGCTATTTGCTACCCTGATGGCTCTTTACTGTAGTGAACTCAGACATAAAATACGAATCAGCGAGATTAAGTGGCCCTCAAACCCTCGCCCCCTCCCAAACACTGTCCATCTCGGGGAACGTCCATCTTTAGAATGGCCATTCCAAAGCCACGGAATATCATCGTGGTTTTGCACCTTTTTACCAATTGTATTTGTATTCATTTCTCTACCACACACACAAAAAAAAGATGATGCATGGTGATATTTTGTTTGTGCTCTAACAAATAGAGTTTGCCTGAAGATCAGAGGGCGAAGCTAGTCACTAGGTAACCACAGAGGCCAGGCAGTGGTACGCGCCTTTGATCTCAGCACTTGGGATCTCACACCTTTGATCCTGGCACTAGGGAGGTGGGGACAGGATCCAGGTCCCATTCAGCCTGCAGATTCCTAGGCATAGGAACTTGTCCCTTCCACCTGAGGATTTGGTAGAGGTAAGAAGTCTCCCAGGTGGCTGGCTCCTTTACCTCTCTGCTCTTTCAGCATTTACCCAGATCTCTGACGCTGACACAATACTAAAATATTCGCTTTCGATCCTCTTCCACAACTCATGTGCTCTTCAGCCTGCATTCTGCCCATCTTCAGCCACTAATGGAATCCTTCGCTGGTCTCCCTTTCTAAACTGTAGACTACACTACACCCACGCTCACACCTGTTTACATATACATAAAAACATTACAGGCTAGGATCGCATGAAGGAGAACGTGATTTTCTTTCTGACTTTGGGTCACCTCACCTAACACTTAATGCTTTACAAACCCATCCATATTCCTTAAAATACTACGACTTCATTTTTCTTATCCCATTGTGTGTACGGAGCACATTTTCATTATCCACTCATCTGCTGACCGTCATCTAGGCGCGTTCCATCCCTGTGCTATCATGAATAGAGTGACAATTAATGTGGACGTGTAAAATATCTCTGTGGTGCTACGGAATGTCCTCGTGCAGTTGCTGGGCAGTATGGACGTTCTGCCGGTTTTTAAAGCATATTAATGCTGCAAGTTCTTAAGGAAAAAATGGTCTTGTTTTTGACAAATTTCATTTAGCTGGCATTTTGAATGTGATATCAAGGTCATCTCTTCCCCTCTAACCCCAAGTACAAACTTAAAATTATCTGTACTCTGCATTATTGGCTATAACTGGAGCTATGTATCATTGAAGAAGGCAAGTGTTAGGTTACAATGGGTACAAGTGTTTCAAAAGGGGACAAAGATCTGGAGAGGAGAGAATGGAAATGGAAACCCAGTGCTTTACTTTCAGGTAGATTTCCAGGTTCTCCAGCACATGGATGCTTGAAAGCCTTAGGAGAAAGCCAGATTTATTCACAGTGTCTCCTGCTCGGTCATCAAATCTCCTCTTACTTTCTAGGCTGCTACAAACCAGGAAAGGCCTTGCCCATCTAGGCGACTAACCAATGAAATTACATCCCTTTCCTGTGTACAGGCTCTTTAATAGAAGCAAGTGCCCCTGGAAGGAGGTTAAATGGAAACGTGTATTTTTAACTTAACATCCTGTACACACCCCATTGCCAAATAAAGAGTTTCCACAGCCAAGGAAACAGCTGGGACTGTTAGCAGCTTTCCAATGACCATCTGAACTCAGCGTCTGGTCCTTGGGTCAGTTTCTGGGTCAATTTCAGGATCTGCAGAGTAATTATTTCCTTTTGAAAAAAAAAAAAAGACAAAAAGCATTCATTTGTAGTAAGGTGTATTTTCCTTTGCTGAAATGGTCTGGAAACAAAACCCGTAGGGCCCACTTGTCCTCACCATATCTTCCTTGTGTCTGGCCCTCGCTTCTTTTCTCCCTACAGCCCTCGTGGTCTTCCTAAGAAACATCTGGATGGCATGTTTCATGAGGGAAGTGAACGTCTCTACTATCTCATTGTGAACGCCACACTCTTCAGATGTTTGCCAAACATTTTCTGTCCCTGTATCAGTTATGTGATAAGCTGCTCTTTGGGGCAAAAGAGAGAAATGCAGGTATTACCTGAACACAAGAGTAGGACTGATATAGCGGTTCTGAGAAAAATTAAGTTGCTATAAGAACCTATTAAGGTAAACAGCATAAAAAATACTTTTCAAATTCAACAAGACACAACATCAGACTTCTACTATAAGGAAAAACAAAGACTTTTAGCATCAATGTCAAATTTTCCCCTCATGTGAATAGACGTAAAACTCACTTTAATATCACTAAGAAACAATCCTTAAACTTGATACTATCAAACAGAGACACATCGCAGTAGTTAGAATGCTCACAATCTCAGGGAGTGGCACTCTTAAGAGGTTGTCGCCGTGGGGGTGGGCTTTAAGATTTTCTAGGCACTGGATACCTAACTCAGTGTTTCAGCCGGCTTCCTATTGCCTGCAAGATATAGGACGCTCAGCTCCTTCTCCAGCACAACATCTGCCTAAACACCGCTAGGCTCCAGCCATGATGATAAAGGACTGAGCCTCTGAACTGTAAGTCAGCCACCCCAATTTAATGCTTTTCCTTTATAAGGGTGGGGGTGGCCATGGTGTCTCTTTACAGCAATAGAAACCCTAACTAAGACACACACTGAAGACGTGGTACCCCTAATACAATGTGGTTGGTGCGGTGTGGGAGTCTTACACCCTGCGTAACTCCTGGTGGCTGTGGTGGATAGATAACGGGCAGCTATGGTTGACATTGGGGTACACATGCACTTTGCTCCGTTGTGAGGTGTAATTGCTGACAACTACCAAGCACCTTGCCTTGAGGGTTTTTTTTTTTGAGCCCCTGCACACATTTCCTCATTTAACACACACAAGAATTCCTAGAATTCTTCTTCCCTTTCCAGAGGAGACAGGCAGCCTTGAGACAATCCCGGCATTTGCTCAAGGTTATCACTGGGTTGGGGGTGTGTCAAAACTTGAACCCAAACCACCTAAACCCTGATCCTTGACTTGAATTGTGAAGGAAATGGAGGCCTCATTCATTCTCCTTTCTTTGCCTCTCACCTCTGACATGTTCAGACAGAGAATGAAAATCCGGAAACCCATATCTAATAATAGATCTGAAATCTAATCAAACCAGAGGAGAGAATAGACTAAAGGAGGCAGTGGACAGTAGACGTATTCCTAACCATCTCTAATGAGCATGTTCATGGGGTCACTGGGCCCACTGGTTCCCCACCCTTTCCAGGGGTCAGGCCTGATGCCAGGTACTCCTCAGATCTACATATTTTTGGTGAACTAACCCAACTACTGACTGCAGTTACAATAAACTGCTCTTTTCAAGGCCAGCGACTTGAGTCTGTAAGATTAATAGAACAGGGTGTGTGCCTGGTGCCTTCTTTTGTGAAGCAGCAGCTGAGGAGACTTGCCATAGCTGATGAGAAACCCAAGGAAGGAGTCAAGACTGGGAAGAATGGTAACATGAATTTCAAGGTGGTGGACATGGTGGCTCTGTGGGACAGTTTAGGATGAAGACGCAAACACCACTAGTAAACGAAGGAAAGCCCATTGTGAATGAGAGGTTTGTTAAATGGTGGGTGAGATTCCAGTCTGACGAGCAACAATCAATGACACGGCCACACCTGCACAGCTGGGAATGCGGATGAAGACGACTGCTGTGTCCAGCAGCGGACAGGAGTGTCTGCTAAAAAAGTAACCTGCTGCTTTACTCCAGGACTGCGTTGAGTACATTGTCAACTAGAGAGCCTCCGTTTGGTCCTAAACAGCCCAGTTTTCTCTTTTCTTTCATTTCTCCTTCACCATTCCTTTATTAGACACAAGCATACTGTGTGTCCTTCCTTCCTTCCTTCCTTCCTTCCTTCCTTCCTTCCTTCCTTCCTTCCTTCCTCGAACTAAATAGCCAATGTTCTGTTTTGTTCAGCTTCAGATGGAGCCGGTGTGGGAGAAGGCACCGGTTCTGTGAAAATGCCTCTTCCTCCATTAGTGGCACGTTCGTTCCGCTCTCCTCTTAAAAATCAAGTAAGGGACTTTGCTCTCATTGGTTGAATTAAAAAGCTCAATGACATACACTGCCTGCATACTCTGCTCACTTGGGGACTGTCAATGTTTTTCAATTATCATTGTGAAACCAAAGACAAGTTTGTAACTTTTTTGTAAGTAGCTGTTACATGTAGGGCAACCTGTCTTAAGTAGGGGTAGATTATACTGGAAAAGAACGAATCTTTGAATCCCTTCAAGTCAAATATCTTCTTGTTTAAATAAGCTTATTTTTAAAAAGATTTATATGATATATATATATGTATGTATTAGCAAAAGAACTTTAAAGCAAAATCTACAACAATAAAGGGAACAATTTGGCCTCTAAACCAAATACCAAGTCTATCCAGTCAGTTCAAAAAGATATCTACAACTCAAGGAAACAGTGGATGCAACTGCTGGAAGATTCATACTTCGCATAAAGCCCAAGGCCACTTCCTAAGGGAAATGCAGTGACTTATTCCTCCATACAAACATTCCCAGCAAATGATGCCACTGAACAGAATGCCTTGCTGGGCTGACTGCAAAGCAAAGAGGAAACACGTTATCTAGAAAAAATAGACCATTTCCTTTCAATTCCCCTCCGAAGCAGAGCGACTCTTCTTCTGAGACCAAACTGGGGGGGGGGGGGCTTGCTGCAATGCGCCACACAAAAACCTTCCAGTCGCACAGCCAATAAAAGTTAGAAGCCAAGGCGAGTCAGAAAGAGTCCCACAGCTGTTCCCGGGAAGCCGGGATGTCTATGGTTGATACTTCCCAGGAGCTCTCACCCAGCGTGAAGATCATATGTCTAGAATCCAGGTACCCTCCAAGAAACAAGAACCCCTTTAGAAAAGCATTGCACACACCCTTGACGCGCTCTGGATTTGAGAGGAACCGCTGTGTGCGCCACTAAGGAAGTGGGTATAAGCTGAAGGGCTCTGGAGCACTGCAGTGGGCTGCAACCAACTCACCGACCAGTGCCAGGGCTGCGGAAAGTTTCTGAGGAGAACAGACGTGACTAAGGTCCACGGAGGTTAAACTCCGAGGATATTAGAGGAGCGGCTGATCAGGACCCCTGAGAGGGTCACATATCAGATATCTGCATTACGATTCATAACAGCAGCAAAATTACAATTATGAAGTAGCAACGAAATAATTGTATGGTTGGGGTTCCCACATGAGGGATGGTACTGAAGGGTCACAGCGTTGGAAAGCTGAGAATCATCGCATCAGAGGGTACCCCAAAAACGTCAGGAATGGAAAGCAGAGATTTAACAACAACTGGTTGACTTTCTCTTTAACAGCTTACAATTTATTTCATTGTAGTCCTGCTAATCCTATGACTTCAAAGGTCCCGTGTATTGACTATTCTGCCGCCTACTAGCAAAAGTATGCAGGTCTCCCTTGTTGAGTCATCCCGAGGATGGGGTGCCCTTTCGGAGCTCAGATGCTTAGGAAATAGCAGGCCTGCATTTATTCTGTGTGCACCAGCAGCCTAGCTTGCACAGTGCTCTCTAGAGTGGAGCCGTGGCGGGACTTTCTGATTTCTAGAGGTAAGTTTGTGGTTCTTTCCAGGTTACTGACCCATGAGTACAGCTAAGCAGACTGAGACCATCCGGTTACAGTGTGAGCTGTCCGAGGACATTCATAGACAGGACCAGACTTCCAACCAATCAAAGGACCTGAAGTTAAGAGGCCTTCCAATTCTAGGCCCTGAATTCTAGAGGTGTGGCTAAATGCTGAGGGCCTCTTAGCAGACACGCTCTGCTCCGCCCTGTCCATACTCATGGCCCAAAGAACAGTAAGCATAATGAAACAGTTGATGATTGACACTACTGTGCTCCCAGAACATAGATGTAGCAGCAATAGATAACCATAGGTACAACACAGGTAACACACCCACTGTTTATGGAACCCACACCTGCAATGTGATCCGTAGCTCAGGGGAGCACATTTCACAATATTAAAAAGCAAACAAACAAAACAAATGTACCCGGAAACAAGTAACAAGAATGATTCTCTGCGCAGCAGGATGAGGTGGGGGTGGAAGATCGGAGACAGTTAATTGTCCTCAAATATTTGAAGGCTTACTGTGAATGAAGTGGGGGCAGGGGTCCGTATTTCAGGAGAGATAGGGCTTGGTTCTTAAGTGCTGAGCTTTTGTGGGAGGAAGAGGTGGCTTGGGGGGCAGTGTGATTCCTTTGTTTAAGGCAATGGGGCACGGAGAGGAGGAAGGCCTGGGAGATAAGCCTGGGGGAGAATTCCCTCATTGGAAAACAGGCTCCATGAAACGCCTTCACTTTTAAGGTTCCACTGCAACGCGTAAGACGTTTTTAATCTAAAGATCATCCCCGGCTCCTTGTGCTAAGAAATCTAATCCCAACACTTGCGGAGCGGAGGAGGAAAAAAACAAACAAACACAAGATGAATAAATTAAATGAAAGGCAACACCGAGGTATAAATAGAAAGTGAAGCGGAGAACAGCAAACTAAGGCGGGAAATGCAACCCAGCAGGGCAGGAAAGAAACGGTAAAAGGTGGAGGGAGGCGGAGCCAACCGGAGCAGCGCTTTGGGGGAGGAGAGGCAAAGAAGTCAGTAACGAAGACAGGCTGGGGCCAGGCAAAGCCTGCCACCTTCTTGAGAAACAGCTTCCTTTACCCTGTCCGTGGAAAGACCTTCCAGGGAACGTGGGTCACGTGCCTGGCACCGAGGCCTCTGTAGTCCCTATGTAGAATGACAATTAAGGCTGGGGCTGCTGGAGATCACACCTATTTCCTGAAAAAGCCAATGTGATAAAGAACATGCAAAACATCAGAAAATGAGACGAGGCCAAAGCAAAAGCCAGAGAGGAAACCGCAAAGAGAAAAACATTTAAAAAAAAAAGTTATCTCATTCATGTTTCATCTGAATTTTATCACCATCGTAATCAGCTTCTGAGGGCTTCTAGTGAGTTTAACTCCAGTTACTCAACCTGTAAACAAATCGTCCCTGTGGCCACTGGCAGGAAGAGTGGAGACTCCTTTGATGTGGGAAGAGAGAGGAAGGAGTCACCTCCAGGGAGCAGAGGCAGGGAGCTCTGGAACCAAACGGTAAGAAACATCATAGGTCATGTGCCTCAAAGATCTTTCAAAGATTCTAGCATGCCAGAAGTTACCAATTCACGTCATCCATGAAACACAACTTTCTTTTTCATTTTAATTAAAAAAAACACATTTTTTTCCTTTTAAGAAAAGGGAAAAGTGTATCTCAGTACTCACCCATTTCCTAGGTCTGCCTCTTGGTCGCTTTTCTCCAATGGCCTCTGCTTTCTGAAAAAACGAAAAAGGAAGTCATGTGGTCTCCTGCCTGACATTATTTACAAGAGCTGGGCCAAGAGCTCTGCTTCCAGGTAGAATGTTCTGGACTGCAGAAGAAGTATCAAACCTGTCTGAACAACCTCTTCCTCTTGTTTCAGTGGCCGCTTCTTCCTAGCTGTAGGCCGAATGATAAAGAGGTATCTATGCAACCCCCTCACCACAAAGGACTCCCGTGGAGTGACCTCCTCTGAGAGGCCTGACTACAGCTCTTGGGAAATCCCCCTCGCCTTTGTTTCTGATCAGACAAAAGAAATATTCCCACATCCCATAATTTATGCAAATTAATATTTTACAGCACAAATGTTCTTTCAAGTGTCAAGACTCTCCAATTACAACTAGCTACAAAAGTTAATATAGGCACATTGATTTTAAATAATAAAGCGGTTCTCTCTAGACTGCTATAGAAAGCAAGTCTGTACATAAGAAATAACACATAAACACTTCAATAAGAAACAGTAAACAAACATCTACCAACTTCTGGATGGCTAATTTCCTGTCCTCTACCCAAAACGATCACCTGCTAGATCAGGTAGGTAGGTAGGTAGGTAGGTAGGTAGGTAGATGATAGAAAGATGGATAGATGATAGGTAGGTAGGTAGGTAGGTAGATAGATAATAGATAGATGATAGATAGATAAGAATTTTTAAAAATAGCAAAAATCACCAATAGTTGTCCCAGAGATCTAAACCATAGCTACACAAAAATTATTAAAATGGCCATTATTAACAATAACTCCTCACTCAACATGAGTCTGGCATGACTCTACTTCCTGTTATTTTTAGAGATTGTCTCATTGCTATATTGCATAGAATTTCCTGATATTAGCTATTTATTTCTATTCTAGTTCCAATTTCACATTCGTAAAGCGGTCAGTCTTAGTCACCCCTTACTCCATTCCCTAAGCGTGTCAATGCACACACAGACATCTCTCTTTTATAAAAAGCACACGTTTATACTTTTCTGAAAGAGGGAATCTGAGTACTTATTGTTTGTGTATAAGAATTATACACAAAAATTATAAACAAGACCTCTCATGCAAGAATCTAGGCAAACTGAGTCAGGACAACTTGTTTGGCAATGTAGTTTTACCTGAGCTGACAGCCAGTGGGTCTTGGTACAGTGATACTAAAATGAGATATTTAAAGCCTATATTGACAAATAAAACCTTCCTTTCTTCAACTTATCTAATAAAAGTAGATGAACATAAATGACAAGATAAATAGATAACTGATAGAGATAGTTGGATGGCTGAATAGACAGAAAGACAGACAGATAGATGAAAAGATGGATGGTTGAATGGATGCATAGATGATAAGATAGATAGATAGATAGATAGATAGATAGATAGATAGATAGATAGATAGATGATAGATAGATAGACAGATAGATAGAGATAGATAGATGGCAGTTTGATAGATAATAGACAGGCAATCTGATGATACCTGCATTGCTATCACAATTGTCAGAAGCTCTTATATGATTATAATGTTACCTCAAATTTATTAAGCATTAAAAAATTATTAACCATGGTCTAAGTTGGGTACATATGTCACTTTATTCCTTATAGCAGGCTTGTAATAGGAGCATTATGATTTCATTTACTTTGCAGATGACTGACTAAATCCTAGATATGTTAGGTCATACATCATGCCTGTAAGTGATGGGAATGAGATTTGAACCCAGCTGTCTGACTTTTAAACCTCTTCCCAGTCCTGGAGAAGGCACTGGTAACAGAGCCATTGACTTGGCTTGTTTTTGAGAATGAAAAGAATTTCAGTAGCTCATAGCATCTTTCACTGTCAGGATTGGCTGTCAATGTTCCCAGCTTTGTTGGAGGTCAACCAGGGATTTCTTTATGGTCAAAGTTAGTGCCCTGCCTCACCTTTAGTCACGAGAGCATGGGCTTTAAGGTATGTGCAAGCTGGGGATGACCAGAAAACCACACAATCTTTCCCAATTGTCCCCTGGAGGGACATGAAGGTGTCATGCTTTGGAAAGCTTAGGTCGGAAGACCTTTCTCAGATAGTCTAGCTCTATGACTAGAGATAGGTCCCTGGAAGCCTTGATTTTTATTTCCTCTGCAAAGTGGAATGAGCTTTGAGGGGACATGAAGGCCTTTGGGACTGCCCATCCTAAACAAGATCCTCAAGAACATCTTTTCATACCTAACAAGATAGAAGGCTTAAAAGGTAGAGTTTCCCTTCAGGTTAGTCCAATCCCACAGACAAGTATGCTCAAGCGTCTCCTTTAGAAGGCAGCTCTGAAGGAGTGCCTGGCTGAGAGTGCCTGGCTGGTATACAGTGAGTTAGGAGGGCTCACAGGCCCAGCGCTCTGGAGTGGATCTTTGGAAGTAACTATAAGATAATTGTACGGAGTTTACCCAGTAATGAATTACAGGAACATGAAACAGAAGTCCTTTCTCATGGGAACTGGGTGGTCCTTGGGCTGGCAGGGAGGCTGCTATTAACCTTGAAGGTAACAGTGCTCTACCAAGAATTTCTGTATAATTCTCACATCCTGGGAGCTATGATATGACCTGAGTGTATCTGAAATCTCCTGAAGACAAGGAGTTTTCTAAAAAGGGCTTCTCTTCATTTTCAAGACAGAGAAAACAGATCTCTCAAAGAGAGAGGGGAGAGGAAGCCTTGCAAACCCGATAACTTTTAAATGAGGATCCCGTTTACAAAAAGCCCATTGAGAAATAAAATTCATACCATTAACAAAAGGGCACAAGACCGCGATTATCACTTCAGACTTGTTAAAAGTAAACTTGCTCCTTGCTCATGGAGGCTGGTGTCCCATGTAAACTGAAACCCTCTTCTGAGATGACATCTAGAAGCAACAAGCTGGCTGCACTGTGTGGTCCCTATCTGGGAGGCTTGATTGTTCTTTAAAACCCACATTACTGAACTGCTCTGATCAAACTTCACAAAGTCTGCAAAACAAGCTGGGGTTTTCGTGTGTAAACGAGGTTTGCTCCAGGATGTTCAGATACTGGAAAACAGTCTCTCTCTCTCTCTCTCTCTCTCTCTCTCTCTCTCTCTCTCTCTCTCTCTCTCTCTCTGTGTGTGTGTGTGTGTGTTCAGTACTCTTTGGAGCACTGTCTTTCAGAGAAGGAAAACAAAACATGGAGAGTATTTTTTAAGACATCAACGTACACAAAACGGTAAAAGCAAATGTTACTTGTCTTTGCTGGGATGGGCTTTGGTTCTGTATTCCATATGTGTATAATTGAGACCTATCTAGTTCTAAGTGTTTTCGGCTTTTATAGAGGGCTGCAGGGAGAACCAGTAGATTTTCTGCCTTTGTGAAAACTGAAATTTCAGACTTTTGCCAGCACTATGACACATGTGTCCACATCCCTCACACCACAGCTGACTCCAGCTTTCTTCCTCTGCGCTCCCCATTAGATTCTGCCTGCCTTTGTAAAGTGCCTCATTCAGAATTGTGTCCTAGACTTTACATGTTTAGAAGCAGCTTCTTGAAAATGGGGGAGGGTGACGCTGCAGAGAGGATACACTTCTTCCTTTGAAAAGTGCTGGGTAGTTGAAGTTTGTGAGTATATTCTATATTTTAAACCACTTAAAAAGGAAATTTAGCCTGTAAACATCTCCCTTGAATTTGGAAAAGGGAATTATGGTTAGCACAGATATACTAGAGGTGGTATTCACTACCAGTTTGTGAAAGGAAGAAAAAAAGGGATAAAAGAAGGGAGGAAGGGGAGAGGAAGAAGAGAGGCAGTGGGGAGGGAGGAGCCTGGGATCTGAAAAAGCACTGGTGTTTTGTTTCTCCATTACCATCAGAAGTTTGGTAGAACTTCAAAACCATCTCTGGTAGTCCTTTCATTTGACAAATAAGAATACATTTGTTTTATTACAGTCCCCAAACTTGGTGGATTATTGGGGGACCCAAAGTCTCTGCGTATTCCTGGCAGAAGACACCCATTTTTCTGCCCTCCTGTCTTAGAGAGAGCTGCACCTCAAGTTACCCCCACTTTTAACCCAGTCTGTATCTCAAGTCATTGAGGAAGATGACAGACACCAACCTTGTGGTTGGTAGTATACGGCACCCTGGTCAGCCCCCAGAGTGAGAAGGATGAGGGTTGGAAGAGTTGAACACTAGGCATGTATCGGTCTGCAACTGTGAATCAGTGTTATCATTTGTGCAGACCACAGCGAGAATTAAAGAAGGAATCTATTCGCAAAGGGCCGGGCAAAGACTGCAGTGTGGCACAGACAGACGTACTACCACTCCACTGCGCTGAACACCGCCCTCGCCAAGAGTCCCGCTGTCTGCAGCTCTAACGGTGACAACTCCTCCTTTCCACTCTGTGGGAGATTCTGTGCCCACCTTCCCAGGGAGCAGACCCTAGACTCAGCCTAATGTCAAGACATTTTCTTTGCTGGGATAGTCTCAGATATAAAACAGAAAGGCCATAGGCAAGGTGTGAGAAGAAGAAAGATTTTTTTTTTAAGACCAAGGAAATAAAGTTTTGAAAAGAAGAAGGCTCCTTAGGATACTGAGTAAGAGCAAAATATTTTCAGTATTCCTATTAAGACAGGAGCAGGGCTGGGACCTAAGAGACTAACTCAAGGCTAACTTCAGGTCAAGCTTAGACAGTTAGATAGCTGTTCAATTTTTACAATTATAAATGCTCTCATCTTATTTTTGAGTTGTAGTGGGCGTTACCTACAAGCCGGACATCCCAACTTCAAACCAGGAGGTGTGTGAACACAGAACAAGAACTAGGGATTTTTTTAAAAACCAACTGCATGGGTTGGTTTCATATATTTGTATTTTGAATTGTTTAAAAGACTAACCCCTGTTTGAACCCAATAGTTTGCAGAAATATAAGAGTATATGAAACATAAGGACATCTAATCAAAATCTAGAAACATAAATAATTTCACCCAGCTTCTCTCAAAACAAAAAAACAAACAAAAAAAAACAAA